GCACGCGACATGCTCAGTGGCGATGAGCGTGAGCGCCGACCTCTGGCACCGGCGCCTCGGCCACATCAATCCAAGTGCTATGGAGATTTTGCGGCGCAACCGCCCTACAGGTGTGAAAGATGACGGACCTGTATCCCCGTGCGACAACTGCCAAATCACGAAGCACAAGAAGGCTCCCGTCCCGAAGAAGACCAGCCGTGTCCTGACCAAACCAGGCCAACTCGTCCAGTTCGACAACATGGGACCAATCGACCCGCCTGCGAAGTACAACGGACGCACCTACTCCTATGTCGCCAAAGCGACCGACGTCTTCACCAGAATGCGGGAAGTGTACCTACTGCGCGACAGGACCGAAACCACGCAAGCTCTGCACGCCTACAACATGCAAGTAGCATCTGAAGGCTACCGCATCGAGGTTCTACGCTGTGACAAAGGGGGAGAGAACACTGGGGGAGAAATGAGCAACTACTGTAGGGAGTCTGCGATCAAGCTGGAATTCGCCGCGACCAACACGCCCCAAGAAATCGGAGTGTCAGAAAGGGATGGCCAGACACTTGCGGCTGTGACTCGAGCTCTACTGCGCGATGGAGACTTCCCAAAACGCATGTGGGGGGAGCTCATGATGACTGCAGCATACCTGACCAACAGGACCCCACACGCGGCGCTAGGGGGAGCCACGCCGTATTCCAAGATGTACAACACAACCCCGGACCTTTCTCGACTTCGTGCCATCGGCGCGCACGCGTTCGTTCATCACGAGCGATACAAGAAGAAGCTAGACGACCGGACCTAAGGCAAGCTCTGCGGTTACGGACCTGACAGCAAGACGAACCGGATCTACGTGGAGGGCAAAGACAAGGTCTACGAGAGCCGGAACGTGACTTTCATCGAGACTCCACCCAACACCATCCCCCCTCACCGGTGGGACGACCGTCTCGGATATGAACAGGACGTGATGAACTTCACGTCATTGCCCGGACGCGGCACCTCTACGGGCGACGAAGACAACAAAGTGGACTACGGAAAACAATCAGAGCTCCTGCTGCACGAGATGCGCAACATGCAGCAGGACAACATCAACCGATCATAACTTCGCCAAAACAACGCGGGCACGGATTCCGACGACTACTTTGCTGCTGGAGGAGATGACAGCCNTACGGAAAACAATCAGAGCTCCTGCTGCACGAGATGCGCAACATGCAGCAGGACAACATCAACCGATCATAACTTCGCCAAAACAACGCGGGCACGGATTCCGACGACTACTTTGCTGCTGGAGGAGATGACAGCCATAACAACTCGCGGACTAAGACACCATCCAGGACATCGCAAGGACCCTACGCGAGAGGTATCCTACAGCGATACGGAATGGAACAGGCAAACTCGGTCAGCACCCCCAGGTATGGAGCAGAACTATCAACCGAGCAGCCACAAGACTAACTACTCGGACCCGAGGACAAGCAGAGATTCAAGGCCATCGCCGGGCNCTCGCGGACTAAGACACCATCCAGGACATCGCAAGGACCCTACGCGAGAGGTATCCTACAGCGATACGGAATGGAACAGGCAAACTCGGTCAGCACCCCCAGGTATGGAGCAGAACTATCAACCGAGCAGCCACAAGACTAACTACTCGGACCCGAGGACAAGCAGAGATTCAAGGCCATCGCCGGGCGTCTCCTGTACCTTGCCCAATGCACCCGCTACGATCTGTCATACGCAGTGCACCAACTGACACGGGCATGCGCAAACCCAGCACAGGTCCACATGGCTGCGGCCGGGCACTTACTACGGTACCTACGCGGAACGCCGGACCTGCCGATCGTATACAAGAAGGGGCAGTTCAGACTCTCGTGCTTCGCTGACTCGTCATTTGTAGCCAACCCAGACAACGGCAGGTCTACAACCGGATACCTGTTCAGAGCACCGTGGAGACCGAACTTCAAGCGCTGAGCTTCAGTGCTCGCGAGGCAGTCTACATCTCCAACTTCATGACGGAAATCGGATTCAAGACCTTTCGATCGGTACCCATCAACAGCGACAGCACCGGAGCATTGACTGTGGCCAGCAACGCGATGTTCAGCTCTAGAACCAAGCACATCGCGCTCCGGTTCTTCTTCCTCAGGGAACTCACGAAGGGGCACCGGATCACTCTTCACCACCAACCTAGTGCCACGATGTTGGCGGACATCGCGACGAAACATCTCCCGAAGCAGCGATTCGCCACCATCATGCAACTTATCAAGGACTGCAAGTGCTAGAAGACGATCGCATGGCATGGTCGAATGTTTTGAACGCATGTATTGCTCACAGGATGGATTCACTCATGTGGAGGTCGATATTCTTTGATATGGATTGGGAATTGAGGGGTCGCAAAAAATTGGCAGCGAAATGAAGTTGTTCTTTCTTTTTCTTTTTGGAAGATCGGCTACTTGCCTAATCGAGGGGTCGTGTCGAGGAAAACTGTTACAACGTAGTCAGACACAGTTTACCATAGGTGCGACTGCGGCAACTAGCCTTCCGTGGACATAATACAGAAAGAAGATATGGTACTTAGCAGAGAACACGAGCACAGAGTTGTAGCGGAGATAATTTGGCAGGCGAGACTGTATCATAGTTGTTTCATTGTTCCGAACCCCGAAATTCCGGTACTCGGGCCCATACCCCGGAGACCTTCGGAACCTGCAGTGTTTGCTGCTTTTTTGTTGTTGAGCTGAGACACAAGCGCGCCTTCGCCCCTTGTGCTCACTCTCATCTAGCACCCATCAAAGCCTGACCAGGGAGCCAGTTGATAAGAACATCTATCTATNTGTATCATAGTTGTTTCATTGTTCCGAACCCCGAAATTCCGGTACTCGGGCCCATACCCCGGAGACCTTCGGAACCTGCAGTGTTTGCTGCTTTTTTGTTGTTGAGCTGAGACACAAGCGCGCCTTCGCCCCTTGTGCTCACTCTCATCTAGCACCCATCAAAGCCTGACCAGGGAGCCAGTTGATAAGAACATCTATCTATATTTCTCTTTCCAAAGCTCGCTCGGGCCTACCGATCTCACAGCAGTGAAGACTAACCTCTGATAGAGCGGTGACAGCAGTGTAACCTCTGTGGTAGACTACAAAGTTTACGAGCCACAGCAGCACCGCCACCTCCGCTGCTGCAGAACGCCACATTTTGTGGCTGCTGTATGCTGGCTACATTACATGTAGATTTAGTGTGGTGTAATAAAGCCTTATGATGCTGCTGCTGCTGTGGAGCCTGTCTTCGATGTAGGGAACAACAGCAGACACACAGGGTGCGTGCTTGCTGTACACCCCCTTGTGCTGTTAGTTGCACGAGGACCACATTCATTCATTTATTCATTCATTGCTGCTGCTAAAAGGGGCTACAAAGAAAGGTCTAGGATTTGTTGTGGTCATGTTCACCTCTCAATTATATGGGTTTTATTTTGTGAGGCAAAAGCCTACATAGATTATGGAATATATAGGCTTTATTATAACTACTGTAGTCCTACACAAAAAACGTCTTGACCAAACTGGATTAGGCGCCTGAAAAATGGGGGAGGTAAGGGGGGTGGGGGGGGGGTGCATCGCGAATTTAAATTCACGTGCCCTCTAGCGTCAAGCATGTGGGGGATTTACAGCTGACAACCATGTTCTGGGTAGAGGGTAGGGGGTAGGGGGTACGTGCCACGGGTTTCCAAGATCGCTCGAAATGACTTACCCGATATAGACCCTGAACCCAGCGGTAGCGCTGGAGTTGTCCTTATTGTGTGTCATCAGGCAGTGCGCGCGATGGGCGAGGCAGGGAGCCAGCAAGTCAAAACTGTTTTGGCCATTCAGCGAAAGATTCCCGTCGTTTGGCTGATAGTGTACTGCTGTATGAGACAGAGTACGCTGAAGTACGCTGGAGAACCAGGGTACCTTGGCATAATGTAGACTGTATTCAATCGCGTAAAGTTGTAGCAGTCACGTATCGCTCGCAGTTTCACGGTACCCTACGGCCTTGCCCCTCTCGAGATGTTGCGCATTGCTGCATTGGATATGCAGTCATGGAGTCACACCGCGGTGCACGGCAAATGTGCAAACAAAAGCGTGGCGTGCGGCAGAGTTCCAGGCAAAGAGGCGGACACGGTCACAAGAGCCCCGGCGGTTCTTAGGCTAACACACCACTACTGTGGCCACCCAGGTCGTCGTGCCGGGAACTCGACTCCCTACCGCCAGCCCCCAGTGAGACTAAGGGGGGCATCATATCTCCAGCGACAACGTCATGCTAGCTGTGCTCTTCTTACTGTATCATGTAGCGCCGACAATTTCCACTATCCAATCGTTCTAATAGCGCCTTCAATATGCAAAACAAACATTAACAAACCCAAACACGTAGCAGTAGGCCACACATACTGCAGACTATTTCCTAACCTCTCTGATCTAAGCAACCCAACTTGCGAATCATGCACATGTTTGCAAATAGTCTTGTGACGTACCTCTCCCGCAAAACTGTGGATTGAGCAGCCGGTACCCGCAAGGGCGCATCGCTCCTTTCCAGCTGGAATCGACAGGCCTCTCAGCCTTCTGGTTCGCAACACCCCGTGGCTGGTGCCGCACGCCGTTGCAACTCCCCGTAAGAACGGTGTGCAAGTCATCGTACTAACACAGCGTGCCAAAAGATGGCTTCAACCCCCCCCCCCTCCCGTCCGGCCAATCCGAAAAGCGAGCAAGGATTGAGAAGGCGGCCGACCCTACATGACGGTGTATCCCGGGCCTCCGCCTCCCTCTGGCACCGTCCAGTCGATGTACTCCTGCGGCATCTTGATCGAGCAGCACTTGCAGTGGATGCAATTTTGAGCGTTGATCACCTAGATATGCGCCGTCGTCGTCGGGATACAGGAAGAGCGGTGGGGGTCACAAAGCGATGTACGAGACCCGCACACAAACAGGAACGGTATCCATATGTAAGTTTCACGAGACAGAGAGGAAATGAGCGTGGGGTTTTGGACAGCCGGTCGACCCGGTAAAACTCAATTGGTAGTCGCTAAACCTTCAGCTGGCTTAAGGCCCAAGTTAAAGTCTTAGCGAAAGGAGTACTTCCTGCCTTTCGCTCCTCGTTTTGAAAGACGCACCTGTTCGAGAGCAGCATGCTTGAGGGAAGGAACAACGGTTGGGACCTCCCTTGCATTCGAAACGAAGGGAAAAGTCACACAACGAGGTCTTCCGTGCGTGCACCGATCGGAGACCTTCTGCTGAGAAGGTTTCAACACTCTAGGGGAGTAGTACATGATAGAGCAACACGAAGAGGCAACGGATGGGACGACCGAACAAACGCACCAAGATGCACCGAAAAACTACTGCCCTCAAAAAAAGGCGATGGACGAAACAGACACCCCAAACGAGAATTCGAATTCTTGAACGCCCTCGAGACCCTTAACACACGTCAGACAAAGAACAAACCGCACCAGTTCCGGTTTTCCCCCTTCGTCTCCCTCCGGCACGTTGTACTCGTACACCGCCGCAGGGCAAAACCTCTGCTCCGGGCCGGCGTACTTGGGATACGATACCTGCGACAAAAAAGGGGGGGGAGGAATCAGCCCTTCTCTGCCAGCGAATCGAGAACATATTTCTATCTTGAAGCACGTTGTTTGTCAAGGCTAGACAGATCTCAGACAAGATGATGACTCGGAAGATCGTGTAGTTCATTTCGGGCAACAACAACATGGACAGTAGTGCATGTGGCGTGTCGGTATCTGCACCATATCCGGCACATTGCTTTCGAGCAGCCGGGGGGGGGGGCAAGACTGAGAAGCTCGTTGACTGAGGGACTCGTTGCTCGCGGCATGCTGTGAAGAGCAAGTATTTCAAAATCACTAACGTACTAGCGTATCGTCGGGATAACGTGGTAGCTGGTCCATCAGGTGCAATAATCTTCGTCGGCCATTCACCCATCAACCTCTCGCCCGTTTTTCAAAACGTAAACACCCGCCGAAGCCTCACGCACGTTTTCGAGAATGAAACGTAACATATTCCCATAAACGAGCCGTGCCAACCCTGTTGCTGTGTCAAGCACGAGGCTGATGTGATTTTATTGGTCAGCCGGTTGGCACCGCGATGCAAATAATAGCGGCGCATACGCACACACCATTGGTCAGCCTCTTAGCGCGGTCACTGCCAACAAAAAACATACACACACGCACACACACACCCGGTGCAGGCGAAGTCGCATAGAAGGAACCCAGCCCAGGACAATGAAGCTAGCCGGCGAAAGAGATGATGCAACAACGATGCTGTGTGATATTTTTGAGTCTCCTCCTTGTGGAAGCAGGACTGTGCCGTCCAACTCCTGCGCCCATCCTGTCGGTGGAACCCTTACCCTTTGATCAGAAAGTTTGTATTATTTATCCCGCTCCAAGACTGACGGCTTTCCATTGATCCGCCGTTTAAAAAGTGCGGCCAATGCGTATAACACCAAAACAAATACACACACATATATACACACACACACACACCTCTGACGCGACATCTTCCATCCCCGCCTTTACCCGGAGGTGCGCCGGCTGATCATGCTCGTGCTTCACCCCGGACAGGGCCAGGTTGCTCAGCAGGTCGAAGCTCAACACCCCGTCGGGCTTGGGGTACTCTATCGGCGCGCACCTCGGATCGTCCGCGGGAAGGGTTGTGTCGGCGTCCTTCTTGCCGTTACGGAATGACCACGGCTCTCTCCCCTTCAGCACGTGCGCCGCTAGGCCTTTTTTGGCGAAGGGGGCGAAAGGGCGTTGCGCTAGGGGATATGGGGTTGTTCGTTTGTCGGCATGTTGATGGTCGTGGACAACGTGAAATTTCTCTTTCGTGAGGAAGAGCTGCTGCGAGCCAGAGCAGACGAAATCCGGCGGCGTGTGGCAGCAAAAGAATGATGTTGCCGGTTCGAGAAAGTAAGCGGAGGGCCAAGAGCAAGCGATAATCGTGCGTACCTTGTAGCGTTTAGGCGTCATGTGTAGCTCGAACACTCTCCGCGAGCTATACATGTACCAGCTCCACAACTCGTTCGAACATGATACGCGTATGTTTGTCCAAGGCAGGGGTAACATCGTACGCGCCAAGACACAACCCAGTAGCCGACGGCTTCGGTAGGCTGACATGGAGAGAAGACAACACGCTCGCCTCGAGTTCTGCAAAATGGCGCATTGCTCCTATCTGACTTATTGTCTCCTTAATGGTGCGTTTCTGACCTCCATCCATTCTATGTTACCCCGACCCTCTAGTGTATTTATGAATCCGAACTCCCGGGCGCACTTCCCAACCTCTCCCTATCCCTCTCCCTATCCCCACCTTCGACACAAGTTCAACGGTTAAAACAAAACAACAAGCAACGTACAACGTCAGACATGAGCCAAAGGGCAGGCACAGCTGAAGACGTATGGACGTGGATCTCGGAGGCAACTGGCCACGCGATAGGTATGACGGTACGAAAACGGTTGGCATGCCTACCTGTGTACGCGAGGCCCGGCAGCATGCCCTTCGCAAACGACGCGTGGCAGTTTCGCACCTCCTTCAGTTCCTTCATGACCTAAAGAGGTCAACAACACAGGGAAAAACAAAAATAAATGAATGTATTTTGAATTTCAAAAAGAGTGCGGGCGGGACGTTCATTTTGCCACCCCATGAGTGAAATTCCGCGTCGACCGCATTCTTGCACTTATCGCTGTTGTTTCGACCTCCACTTGCTCAGGAGGCAACAAGCACACATCAATGCGTCTGTGTGTTGTCAGTGTTCCAATAGCGAGCAACGTCTCCCGACGGACGGTAGTGTTGCCGGGAAGTCCCACACCTCACACAACCTCTCCGCACGTGTTCAACTCACAAAGCAGACCTTCCCGATTCATCCAGATGTTCTCATCGGCCTCTCATCAGATCCATCCCCCAGCGTGCAGCAACTTACGCATGTCCTCAACCTCAACCTCGAGCCTTCAATCTACACGGCCGATGTCCCGGCCATGAGCCAAACTCACGAAACTCAGGGCAGGGTCCTCTCACCCACGACTCGTCCATGCGCTTTTGGAAGTCCGACTCCAGAGCACCTTCCGACGAGTCCACGGCGCCGCTCTCCGACACGGGATCCAACTTGCTTTCCTATGCAACGTTTGCCAAAAAGAAACAAGCGTGCAACGCCAAAGAGAGCATTTGACGAAACAAAAGGGTGTTATCGGTCCGTGCAACAGCCAAGAAACGGAGTGGAAACTTCCAGAGGTGTATGCCTTATCCAGATGGGGGGGAGACACATTATTAAGATGCCCAGCTCACAATGATGCAAGATTTTTCTTCCCGCCTTCAGAGGTTGAAACAGCTCCCGCCCGTACAAGAAAATCTCGCTGCGAAATGAGCTGCATGCCTCGCAGAACAGTGTGGTCACATGTTTCGAAATCACCAGTAGCAAGTCACGACGAAAACCACTCGTAAAAAGGGGCAAAAGAAGAACGGACGCTAGTCCTGCCGCTCCTGCCGTCGCCGGGGGGGGGTTCACCTGCAGCAGGTCGAAAGCCGCCTCGGCAGCCAGCATCCCAGACTTGATCGCCGTGTGCGCCCCCTTGATCTTCACGGCGTTCAGGAACCCCGCCGCGCATCCCAGCAGCGCGCCCCCCGGAAAAGTGAGCCTGGGCAGGGAGTGGTACCCTCCCTCGTTGAGCGTCCTCGCCCCGTAAGAGATGCACTCGCCGCCCTCGAGCTGCGCGGCCACCCGGGGGTGGTGCTTGTACCGCTGGAACTCCTTGTACCTGTTGTTAAAAATCGGCGGCAAGAGGGCAATGGGAAGATCGTACAGGTCTAGTCGGTTGACGTTTGACGGTTGAAGCTGATCTGTAGTCGGTTTCAAGCTGATCTATCTTTAGTCGGTAGAACTTGATCTATAATCGGTTATATCGTGAGTGCTTTTCGATGTGGCTGCACGTTTTTCCTGCGGGATCGCTTCACTCATGCCGTCCGTGTGTACGGCAAGAGGCTGCGGTGAAAAGAGTCCCTCCGGTACCTCGATCTCTGAGTCAGGTACAATAGGTGACACAAGAAACAACACCCCCTACATCGACATTCATCGCTCGACTACTCCACGAACAAGAAGATGCCAAAATCAATCCATGTGCGACGAGGTGACTCCAACGCCTACAACCGCCACTTTCTCTGCCATGGAGTAGCTGAGCTTTGAAAATCGTTCTGATATCTGATGTCACCTAGGGTATGTGCGATTCTTGGCTTTGGACGCCACCCGGATGGTGCCACCGACCGGAATGATCGAAGCAAAACCTTGCATCGGCGTCGAATCCCGGTCGTGAAAAAAAACGTAAAAGTACTCGATTAATAGTCCAGCACTTCCTCCCAGTACCTCCAGTGGAGTCTCACTCAAGTCGTCCTCCATGCCTCCGCTACAGCAGTCGAGAACAAGAAGCCCTGCTACCTTAGATCCCTCGTCACCCACATAGGGATGGATGGGCGCAAGAGACGAGAAAAAAAGCATGTCACTCATGGATCATCCGAAAACGTTTATCGTTTCACTGGCCAACCGCGGAAAAAGTGATAAGCTCATTCTCGGATCTTCGGAGAGAGCGACCACTCCACTCACGGATCGCGAGAAAACACGATCATTTCACTCATGGATGGCGAGAAACAAGAAACATTTTTCTCACGGATTTAGGTGCGGGTTCTCGTAGTCCAGCCCCACGACGAGACCGACCAGAATAAGATCAGGGTCCTGGTGGTACAGGAAAGATCCACCGTAGGTCTTCGACATCGGCCCAGACTGGAGCGGCCACCCCAGCGTGTGCTGCACGAGCCTGGAAGTTACATCCACCAACGAGTAGGGGGGTAAGCTGCTTGGCGATGTAGTGAAAGGAATCGTCGCACGCACGTGCGTCACACTTCGAAAGCTCCTCGCGGCGCTCCAAGGTTGTAAATCCCGCATTCCCTCACCACAGGGGAGCCCCTACGGGAACAGTGAAGTCAAACGGTAGGGCTAACGCGGTGATCTCCTTACTTCTGAATCTACAACTGTTCAAGAATTGGCTTTTCAGCTTTCTTTCAGAGTGCGCGTGCGGGCCCACAAGGTCGGCCATTGGCCATACAAGCGCGGTACTTTGCACTGCACGAAGTTCGGGCAACGAGGGTGAAAGGCACTCCCGCCGTTTTCAACACCCGCACATTCTCTTGCTTGTGCTGCAAAATACACCCCGGGCAATTGTCGTTCTTTTTCGGCGTCTCGCGTTGTATTCGCAAACCGAATGAACTCCCAGAATAAGCTGCGGTTTAGGTGCCATTGCATCACATGAATACACGGCTACAAATTGATGGTTGGAAAGGATGGAGCACTAAATCGCTGACGCGTTCTATACATCGACCAGCGTCGTGTGGTGGTTGTTAGTCTCTCTCTCTCTCTCCCTCTATCGCTCTCTCCCTCTCTATCTCTCTCTCTTTCTCTCTGTCTCTGTGTGTGTCTCTCTCTCTCTCTCTCTCTCTCTCTCTCTCTCTCTCTCTCCCTCTCTCTCTATCTATCTATCTATCTATCTATCTACCTATTGTTTCATCTGCATAAAGAACCCCAGATCCTTTATAAGAGTCTGGGAACCGGTAACTTCTTATACTAGTAGCAAAATTTTGTAATGTACCATAATTAGCAGACATTAAGGAAAAAGTTTTTTTATTAAACCTAATTGAAATATCTTTAGGAATCTCTAATATAACGGGCTTACTATAACCTAAAGAAAAAATAAGTTTTTCTTCTTCTTTTCTTACCCTATAACCAATACCTTTAAGACTTAGTTCTATCCCTCCTTCTCTCTCTCTCTCTCTCTTTCTCTTTCTCTCTCTCTTTCTCTCTCTCTCTCTTCCCCACTCGCCCTCTCTCACCCAGGCTTGCACTTGTCCTTAGGAACTCGCCACACTTCCTTCAGGCCGAGGCCGTAGGTCTGCTCGTCCTTGCCTTGGCGGAGGTCGAACTTCGACATCACTTCCTGCGCGCGACGAGCAGACCGCCATTTCGCAAAATCACACAGGCCACGTCCAGCGAACACTGGTATCAGTCCCCAATCGGCGAGACTCACCAGGGAGATCAAGAAGCTATTGTTAGACGGGTGACGAGTTTAGCAGTGACATCTACGAAGAAAAGGTGCGAAACGGAGATCCGGGTTCACTTCGCGTCGTCGCTGTGCACGCCTGGACAAACATAAACCACATTGATTCGGAAATCGTGTGGCCGAGAGCGTTTCGCGCACCAGTATGCCAAGCTCGAGAAGCTTGTGTGCCCTACAGTACATACCCCATCGAAAACTGGTGCGGAGTTTTTCCCGCCGTGGTGTTTGCCGCCCACCTACCCCCCTCGAAAAGCCCAAGACGGTCTACCACACCAAGTGAAGCGCCAACACACCTTTTCCAACAATGTTACCAAAAAAGGTTGACCACGAGAGACACTGCGGTTGAAGTCCAACCAATCACACGAAGGGAAATGATGAAAAACAAAACAAGCAAATCTGAACTGTTAGAGAAAAATAAAAGTGATGACGGTTGCGTGTGCGTTACCTCCGAGCAAGATCCCCGAGCTCCCTCCGCGAAGAGGGTTTGCCTGGCCCGTATCTCAATGCCACGCTCGAAGGTGCCCTTGCGGCTGCCGTCCTTGGCGATGCCGACGTCCCCCGTGGCGACGCCGACCACGCCGCCCTGATTGTGTATCAGATCGAGGTCGTGTCGAAGCAACGCGATCGATGCCGTGGGAATGCCGAATGAGATGCTTGGAAGGATACATCGAAAATGTTGGTCGGATGACTAGTTGATCGAGACCTCTCGACATGCACTTTGTTTGTTCTCATGTTCCGGTTGATCCCGGCAGTAGAACAGTAGATATTGCCCGTCGGTTGGGACGAACACTCAGCCTGTAGGCGTTGGCCGAGTCTTTGGTCGATGCCAAGGTTGCCCCGCACTTCCTGCTAGCTCTACGTCAGTTGCCTCATCGAATGCAGGTGACGCAGTATCAACGTGACGGGCGGTCTCGCCTGCGCCACTGATTTGCTACAATCTAGGTGTTAACCGTAAGGTAGCCGCGAGGCTTCGCCTGCGATGCATACCTTCGATTCGATACACCGTGAACAGGAGGATAAAGAAGCGTCTTCGCAAACAAGAGTCTTCTACATGCACAGCAATGACACGACAAGAGCTGAGCCCCGTGACCTTGACCGCCTGAAGGGTTCGAAGGTAGCTCTAGACCGTGACGGTGCTCCCATCCCAACTGATACGTGTCCGCATGATGGATGAAGAAACCAAGGTGACTTGACACAAAACAAACGCTTCCAGGTTAGGGCGGCGGTCCGGGTACCTCGTCGTTGTAGAGCACCTCCGCAGCCGCGAACCCGGGGTAGACCTCGACTCCCTCCTCCTCCGCCTGCTGTCCCATCCACCTCACCAGCTGGGAGAGCGACACCACGTAGTTCCCGTGATTGCTCTACGGAAACAAGAGGTTCCCAGGAAGGTTTGAGAGAAGGAGAAAGAGCGTGCAGACGTACAGACAGACAGACAGACAGACAGACAGAATGATGTGATTTGGTCGTTAGCAGCATTCTTCGAAAGGGTTGCTACCGGATGAAGCAGACACACAATAGAGCACGGCGGTAGCAAATACGTCGAAAAAGTTTAATGACCATTGGGTACATTCCCCCTGCACACCAGAACGAGCGGTCGTTGATTCCTTTCGACTCAACCAACACCGTACATATAGCCCCGTGTTTTATAGTCACTGCAACAGCTGGCGGGAAAACAACGAACGCTTTCGGGATGGTTTGATCAAGCGCCCGATGTCGTAGAGGAAGGGGATTGACTCAAACAAGCGCACAGAACCACCCACAAACACAGTTTTCTTCGACGCCAAGTAATACTCCAAGGTTCAGATGGGGCGTCGATGCTGTTCTGTCGAGCTGCTTCGGCTGCTACTGCCGTGAGCGCTGAAGGACAAGTCGGCGTTTCTGTTGTGCCGTGCTGATGTGGTGCAACTCCACAGTTGTCAGAAGGGCCAAAAGTTGCTCGTCGAATTAGGCTCACCAGCTGCGGGGGGAGCAAGAAGTTGGGAATCTTGAAAGCCTTCGTCTCGGTGAGCAGACTAAAGGAGTCTTCCGTTACAGGGGACGCCACCGGAGCCCCCTTTTCCTTCCAGTCCGGGATCAACTCGTCCAAACCTCGTGGCTCGAAGACGTTGCCTTTACAAACGAACCAACAACGACGGCAGCTTGCGAACAAGGATGCTTTGCAGCCGTACGATTGACAACATCTTCCCTCACTCACTAGGAATATCTCAATAACGTTCCTGTTCGAGGCAAGGCGTGCCATGCGTTCGCCATTTCGACGAAAAGCAGATCCTGAAAACTGCTGCCGCTCACACAAACCGGCTCGCCTCGCCGCATTGGGTCGCGCAGCCGTTAGCAGAAAAGTTATCTTCCCGACCACCTTTTTTTGTAAGCACATCATCAAGAAGGGTATCCCGAACACGAAAATAGGCGTTTGGTTCGAACTGGCCTCGGCAGTCATGCACCGCGCTACGCATATCCTTCTGCACCTGAGAGGATGTGCGACCCGACCTCTTCCCCCTTCTCGAGAACGCACACGCTGAGGTCGAGACCCCGCTCCTTGGAGAGCTGCTTCAGGCGGATCGCCGCCGCTAGTCCGGCGGGTCCAGCCCCGACCATTGCCACGTCGTACTCCATCGTCTCTCTGCATGGCGTAACGAGCCAGGGACACGGCAGTAGGGTATCTTGGAGAAGAGGAGGGATTCACGCTGGATGTCAAGCGCAAAGGATTGTAACGGGAGTTTCAGTTGGCTAAAAGTTTGTTCCGAAGACATGCATTCTGCTGCATAGGTTTGATGCTGTATTGTGGAGACGTTGCCAAGTCTGAAACTGCCAGCTGAAGACAGCGGAGGCGTCTGTGTGTTGAACAAATGCCACCTAAGCTACCGCTGAGCTCAGCTGTGCCGCGATGCAGTGACGGCAGTGCTATTACCTCAACAGTTGTCACTCGCGTTCCAGCGTCAAACGCAGGAAACGGGGGCAGGATCCCTAAGAGAAAGCACACGCCGTTCACGTCGACGAAACAGATGAAAGCGTGCCGACTTGTTCGTATCGCACGTGACAAGATCACCACACAACCCTACCATTCATCCATGGTTTGGAGCGATACGGTTTGGCATGCCTTCGATTACTTTCGAGAGTTCTGCTGCCCGCGATCTGAGGATACTACGTTTTCGACCAAAGCAAAGGGCGGGGAAAAATCTTCTCGTTGTCGCATTCTATGCTGCTGGTGTGTGGGCTTAGCTGTGGCTGTGTATGTCACCTGATGCCGCTGCAGTTCTTACCACAGTTGAAAACAGAAACAGCAGTTGTTATGAATGGTATGGTAGTCTACATCGATCTCAGCAGCTGTGGAGTTGCGTCGCTCGAAGAGCTGTACAAGAACGCGGAGGCAGTAGCACCGCTTCAAGGGTCTTGCAACGAAGCGGATCCAACCGGATAGCTACGGCGGTGATTCATCGGCGAGGTATCTATAGCAGTACTGCCGTAGCCTAGCGTGTGAGGTGTCTACTCATCACATACTCGAAGCAGGGTTCCCGTCCAGCCTGGGGAGTCAGTGCATGGGGTTAAGCATCTGTAATCACAGCAAATACAGAGCAGCGAAGGAGGCAGCAAGCCTGTACGCATATGTCCTCACTCCTCCCCAGACACACACCTAGCGTAACCCAGGAGGCCCTTGCAACAGGGAAACGGGTCTGAGGTGTGCACGAACCGGGCTGTTGAAGTACAGGTACAGGGCGAACAGCAACATGTCAGCCTTGACGCGCCAGAGCTTGCAAAAAAAGGGAAGAATGCGTCCACAAGCCCCCACACGGCAAAAACCACGCCACTCACCTCGGCTCGTCCTTGGCCGCCGTCGACCCGAAGCCTCGCGTGGTTGCCGGCGGCGCTGGCCGTCGGATACCCAGTCGGCCGCGGCGGCCATGCTCAAGTTGCACCGCTGCGGAGCAACTCGGCTGCAGCGCTCGAGACGACAGGAGTCTCCGCGCTATCATTTTGACCTCGCCGTCGCTGCTCGGGGGAACTGCTACCTTTTGGAGGGAGAGGTCTCTAAGTTGGTGTGGATCTAGGCAGACACGCGCCCGACGACCGGCTTAGAGTTTGTGCCGAGCGTACAGTGAAGTAGAGCAGACAATGAATCGCACGAGATTTGGTTTTGCAGAAAATATCGAGGCAGCGCAATTGCGTAAGATACCACACCCCTTGACAAAAGTTACTAAGCTGGAGAGCCCCCGCAAAAAATAGAGCAAGCAACATCGTTCGTTTTGCGCCACACCACCACCAACCTCTTGTCTCTCTCCCTACGGCGGCACCATGGCCACCACTACGACTACCACTGTGCGCTCTTCCCGAGATAAGAACGCGGTGGAGCGATTCGTTCCACCAACAGCAAAAGCGGCCACCGACAAGAATGCTCTCTACGAGGTGTGTACACTGAACGCTGCTGATTTTTGAAAATATCTGCCCCTGTTGTGAAGCTCTGATGAGAGGATACGGGGAGTTTGGGGCGGGCGGCTGTGGACCCTCAACAGAGGGGAGGGGTTGCCGAGGCATCTTGTACAGGGAGAAGTTCAAAGGGGTCAGCCACCTTGTTCTTCGTGCTTCTATTAAGGAATTGCGCGCCCGTTCGTGGTATTTTCGTGCGGCGCTCTCCCTTACTGTCTGGGATTGTTGTGGCGCGTCGGCTGATCCGCGCCGTTTGCTCATCTACGGTAGCACACAAGGCGTTGGTGGTGGGTGACGCTCTCCCTCGCTCTCTTGTTCTCTCTATCGCTCTAACCCTCCTCGCAAATGGACTATGCAGAGGGGTCTCTGCTGTTACCTTTGCACGACGGTTAGTATCCTTTTTCCTGCCCGTGGTGGAAGCAGCACATTTGAGGATTTCGCTGTTCCCGCTCTGTTCGCACGCAAGCGCCAGTTTGAATCTTTCTGTGCTTGTTTTGATTTTTTCCCTTTATTTTGATTTTGAATCTCCCGCCGTCGGTATTTGTTTTCGGCATCATCACGGTGAGGCACAACTCACATTGGTATCCTCGCAGCCCGAAGCCTTTGAGTGGTCAAAAATTCGTGACATGATGCCCCAGCATGAGTCGGTGTCTCTGTTGGACGAACGCATATACATGGTACACAGTAGAGGTCCCCTTTTACAGCCGGTTGAATAGTGCCGGTTGCCGGTATAGTGCCGGTCAAATCTCGGCGCACAGAACCCGCCCTGAATAGTGCCAGACCGGCACTATTCAGGGCTTCCCACTATAGTGCCGGTTCGGGCCCCACTGAACCCCACAATAGTGCCGGTTCAAGCACGCACGCACACACAACACACTCGGTCCCGGGGGCCAGATAGTGGACTATAGAAACATTTTGTGTTTCCCGCCGCACTGAGACTGACGTCTTTTCATTGGTCAGCCGGTTAGCGCGGTCGATGCTAATAATAAAAGCACACAACACACAAGAGACACACACAACACAGAAGACAGACACAAGAGGAGAGGGTACACGTGCTGCTGCAGACCCGAACAGCTCTACGCAGAGGCGCACCATGCCATGTGCGGAAGGTGACCTGTGCCGCATACCGGACAGAACGCCACAAGCCCCTAATGGCCACATCTGCCGAGGACGATGCGGCGGGCGGCTCCATGGCGAATGATGTGGAAGAATGTTTGACGACAGCGAGCTGAACCGCATCTGCAGTGCGTGCGTAGCCAAAACTGGCAAGCGCAAAGCGAGAGCAGCAGAGCGTGCTAGGAAGGGGCGAAACGCCCGAAAGCACAAGGGGGGAGTAAGAACGACCCTCGTAAGCGGGTGGACGTACACCAGAAGGTCGAGATCCTCAAGCTGATGGATGCGAAGCTCTCTCAAGGAGAGATGTCAGACCGCTTCGGGTGCTCGGAACGGTTGATCCGGAAAACGTGAAGGCCGAGCAGGAGAAGGTGGAGAACGAGGCTGCTGAAGAGGAGGGGAGTAGCGACGATGAAAACGCGGGCCGCGGGCGGCATGCCCCACCGGTTTACGTTGAACTGTCGTCTCACTTCGGGTACCTAGAGGCGTCAGCGGAGGAGAGTGGCAACGGAGACGCCGTGTACCACCTGTCGAAAGCAAGGATGGCGATGATCGCAGCGCACACCGCAAAGCAGGCTCGCCAGGCAGACATGCGGGAATTTATCGCGACGTAGTGAGGGCAGGGGTTACAGCTACAGCAGCTGTTTGATTTCTTGCATGTCCCGTTCTTTCGGTCGTGTTTTTTTTTCTTGTTCTGGCTACATCGAAGGAGGGTGAGGCGGAGATAGATTTTTGCTTCCTCCTTCACTAATAGGTTGTGCCAGCAGGAGCTTCGCAAAAGTGTTACAGCCAAAAATCCATGGGCTTCATGATCAGTGGTTTGCTTTCGCTGTCGAGGAGTGATGTTGAGGTTGCGCGAAATGGTTTGATCCGTTTAAGGCCAGTGCCACGGCATTCTTGCCAACAAAGTATTGGACATCTGTGAGGTGCATCCTTTGCGATATTCATGTGAAGGGTTCAAGTCAGGTTGTGCAAGTGTGCAGTACATGCGGTGAGGTGGGTACGGCAACAAGGTGCAGCATGTGTGTCCCGTCCAGTTAACTTATTAAGCAAGATACGTGTGTTCGACAGGGCAGGAACCACCCCTATCATGGCACAGCAATCTGCCCGCGACGCCCATGCCATGATCTCACCATGTACGTTTCATGTGGTACTTTGTTGACCCCGCAAAGCAAAGCGCTGCACTCTGAAAAATAGTGCCGGTGCCCGGTATTGTGCCGGTGAAATTTTTGCGCACACCCCGGCACTAAACAGGGGCCTCTACTGCAGTAAACACAAAATTTTCTTGGAGAGCAAGTTCAGAGCCAACCAAGTCTACTGTAGACTAGTGCTGTACGAAGTGCATTTCAAGCTGCTGTGTAAGACACTGACTGATTGTCTGACCGATGGTTCGCGGGAGAATGAGAATAATTTTCATGTTTCGGAATGTACCTATGGATTTCAGCCCATGGATTTTGCCGGTGCATACATAGACTTCACTACCTTCCTGTCTTCGAGCTCTGTCAGTAGCGGGTGCAGTATCATCATCCGGCAGCAAGTGTCAGGATCCTGCGAGCTACTTGCAGCTTGTACGTGAGCGGGTGGAGGTGCAACAACAACACTGCGCACTGGTTCCGTTTATGGTGGTCCTTCCCTTGGGTTCTTTCTGTATGCACCAAAACAACAGATGAAAACAATCCACACTCATTCTCGGCGTCACACGTACAATTCGCTGTAATTCGCCGTTCGTTCGTTGTTCAGCAGTAGTAAGCAATGGTCCCGGTGTACAGTAGTTCCGGTGACATCCAACCGACTTCACCGGCATTGTAGCGGGCAACCGGCATTGTTCAGAGTATGAAATAACTTGAATTTTCCACCTGCTGTGCCAGACGATTTCACCAGTATTATAAAGGGAAACCGGCATTATACCTGGACCACTATTATATAGTGTACTGCTTTCGGGGGGAAACCACCAGAGGGTCCAACCGCGAGTGTGTGCGTAATATCTCTGCTTGCTACCGGCTTTTCTTTTTTCTTCTACACAAACATCACAGCGCAATCTCTTCCCCAAAAAAGAGTCCTTTTGTACTAGAAAAGCAATCAGTTCATGGTGTTGCGGCTTATTGTGGTCCCCCGCCTTTACGCCCCCTGTATTGTAGCCCAGCAAAAGAGCACTCAGCGTTCCCGCTGTGTCTCCCTTCTTCGTATTGAAAACCATTTTCAAATTGAAAACCTTTCTCAAAGATGTCGGGTTGTTTTCTGTTCGCACTGCTGTGTTATTTCCAGCAACACGACGAGTTAATTTGTTCCACGGAGCCCCGGATGGATTTGCTATGAATCCAAAGCGTTATGTGAGCGTTATGTGATGACCATGACCGACCTTATATCTCGACGATTCCCCGAGTAGCATAGAGCGAAGATTTTCCTTCTCTTTTCTGTTTTTTTCTTAAGATGCCACGTTTATGAGCACGGCCTGCCGCCGCTGGTGGTACCCAGGTGGTTCTTGCTGAGGCACCGCATTCAACAAAAAGAAAGGGAACGTACAGCTTGCATTTTGTTCACTGTGTTCTTTAGCCGCTGCCAAATATTTTGACTCGCCAGGAGAGAACGGTACTGTTACAGTCTGTGGTACCAAGGAGAAAAGACGACTGATCCATCATCCAACAGGTCTCGCCAAGATCTTTACTAAGCCCATGTCCCTCACAGCCTTCACCACACGGCACCCCTTAGTCACCCTAGGTCGAGAGCTCGAAAAGATCGGTTTGGAAGCTTAGCGTTCCCTTCCCCCTCCCGACAAAAAGCTGAAAAAAGTGCCCCTGCCCGGCAACGGGTGATTTCCTCTAAAGAGCCCAACGTGCTGGGGGTTTCGACGACGCCCAACCTCCTTCCCCGCGTGAAGAACGATGGGGAACGCCTTTCCGAAGTCCTCGCGAAGAAGTGAATCGAAATATCCCCCCTACTTCCCCCCGCGCCATGTTGGAGTCACATCTCTGGCAGAGGGTCGGAGCACGGGAGGGGGGAGGGACCTTATCCAACAATGGTTGTTTGCCGATTGTCTTTTTCCTCCCAAGTAGACGTTTTCTTGTCTTAGTGTTTCCTTATCTTTTAAGCCACTCTCCCGTTCCTCGCTCGAGCCCTGACACCGCAGCAATTCGTTCCCAGTACATATATTGTTCCGCTCTCTTCAATCCGCATGGTTCTACTGCCTTTTGACGGTTGCTCGGCCGGATCCCTCTGTGTGTTCCCCGTCGCGCATGGCAGCAGGGGCATGAGCATCCCCAAGCGTGCTGCGGAACCACCCTCCACACACACCCTGCGTTGGTTAATATTTTTGCTGTTCTCTTTTTCCGTGGCCTGCGCGTTTCTCGTTTTTTGCAGGGCTCCGGGACGCTGTTGGCGGACATCCCCATCGGTGAGTGGGTCGCACAGAAGGTGTATCACGGTTTTTCCACGGTTAAGTGGTTTGATGGTGTTTGGAGTCGTCTTTTTGTACGTCGTCCGCTGTTTGTTCAACCACGACATGTGTCTATTTCCTCTGCTGTAAGCATCGGTCAACAAGAACCTACATTATTGTAAGTTGATGCGTAGGTTATCTATGTTTATTATTTGTTTTCGGTGTGTTGTTCAGTTTTGCGGACGCAGTAAGTTGGACAGAGATGCACCACCAGACTTTGCCCATGGCAATTGTGCCGCAGCGAGGCTGTTTAACCGCAAGATTTTTTTTTTGCCTCCGATCTGGAAGTCGTGCGCAAACCACGAACAATGTGTTGACTGCTGCTGCTGCTGCTGCTGCTATCTTGTCTCGGGCGTGCTTTCGTGGCTGCTGGGACCGTTCCCGGACCCTGCAGTGCCGGTCAACCTGAACAAGATCGATGCGGACCACGACCTGCTCAAGGCTTTCCACGCGTTCCTCTACGGAGGCGTCGGCAAGAAAACCGTCAGAAAGAAGAACATCCGCAGGTGACACCTGCTGCGAATTGCATGCTTGAAGTGTGACCCACCCGTTGTGGACACCAGCCCTCTCTGTTTCACAGCGTTTCGGCTCTCTCTGTCTCTCTCTTTCTCCGTCCATCTCTCTCTCACACACGCGAACGCACGCTCTTTTCCCGTTCCCTTTCTCTCTGTCGCTCTCCCTCTCTCTCAGCCATCTGTATATCTTTCCCTTCGCTGCGTGTCACACCGCCGTCGTTCTCACTTCGGGGGGAGTTGTCTGTTCGCCCTGCAGAGGCGTCGTTTTGGTCGTTTCGATGCCGCGTGCATCTCCGTCGTTGTTGATTATCTGCGCCATTCTTTGCCCTTGCTATTCGCACTTTTTCTAACGTTTCACGCGAACCGGCACAATGGTTGGACTAGGGAACACACTGGCCTTGGGCGAGGTGTGTAGGGTAGTATTCTACTGACACCACACCAGCCATTTACTTCGATGCCGACCTCCCTTTCTTCCCGCAATAGTTCTCGCGTCCCGTGTCCGGTGTTCTGTGTCGGGTGCCCCGTGTCCCGTGACCCTTGTCTCGTGCCCCGTGCCCCGTGCCCCGTGTCCCGTGTCCCGTACCAGTTTTTCCGGCTTCCCTGACGACGACGGCAAGGACGCGAGGATGAAGAAGCTGACAGAGTCCAAGAAGTGGACCGTCGCCGCGCTCAGGGACCTCTGCACCTTGCTCGGCTTGGAGAAGGGAGGGGACAAGGTGATGTCAACCCCCCCCCCCAATCGGCTTTTCGTCGCTTGGCAACGACGTTGTAAAACAAACCAATTCACTTCGTGAACTGGGCAAACAGGTTACCGTGTTTTTTTTCCTCTGTTTTTTTATTTTGCGGCAGCCATAATGGTGGTCGAGTAGATCATGTTGTGAGGGGTGGAGAACCCTCACGCCGCGCAAGGGGGATGATCGCACGACGTTGCGTTAAATGGTCAAGCACCCTCGAGGCAGTTACACAGTGCTTACAACTGTCTCTGGAAGCGAAAGCACCAGAAAATAAATTAAGTCATACGCAGCTGTCGTCCGCACGCAAGGAAGTAAGCACAAGATACCGAGCACCCTTCGCAGGATGCAGCGCACCCTTCATGCGACTCGCCGAATATC